GTCTGTGGTGTTGCTGTCTTGGGTCCATGTTATACCTTTCTCGGTTGGACATTGCCACTCAACTAAATTTAAATTAAATTATCACAGAATCACAGAATAGACTGGGTTGGAAAAGATCTCTGAGATCATCAAGTCCAACCCTCAATCCAACCCCACCGTGGTTCCCAGACCATGGCACTGATGCCACATCCAGTCTCACCCTAAACACCTCCAGGGACAGTGACTCCACCCCCTCCCTGGGCAGCCCATTCCAAGGGCTGATCCCTCTCTCTGGGAAGAACTTCTTCCCAATGTCCAACCTAAACCTGCCCTGGGGCAGCTCAAGGCTGTGCCCTCTTGTCCTGCTGCTGGTTCCTGGGAGCAGAGCCCGACCCCCCCCGGCTCCCCCCTCCTGTCAGGGAGTTGCAGAGAGTGAGAAGGTCTCCCCTGAGCCTCCTCCTGTCCAGGCTGAGCCCCCCCAGCTCCCTCAGCTGCTCCTCACAGCACTTGTGCTCCAGACCCTTCCCCAGCCTCGTTGCCCTTCCCTGGACCTGCTCCAGCCTCTCCATGTCCTTCCTTAGATCTTATAAGAGACTGTGATCCCTGAGAGAAAGTTTTTGTGAGTGCTGGGTGAAACAGGGATGTGGGTCAGAGGACTCTGTGTGTGTGTCCCCACTGGAGTCATCTGGGTGTACTTGTCCTGGCTTCACATCTCCTGAAGGTGTGAGATGGCTGCAGAAACAAGACCTCTCTGGGGCATCTGAGTCACCCCCACGAATATGAGATAAGAGTGTTGCTGTCCAGGAGGAAAATGAATAGGACCTGTTGTCTGGGGTGGTGGACACTGTGCCCCAGCCACATCCCAGCCATGGCACGTCATGACTGTGGTTCAGGCTGTCCAAGGAGATGATCTCAGTGTTTGTCCTTGTGGAGGTTATAGCTGAGCTTCCTGATGCAAGGTTTGGAAGCTGCCATGGTTCGAATCTTCCTGTGATTTGGGACAGTGAAACTTAACATGGAGGAGTGAGCCAAGAGGATGAAAGGTGGAAAAAGAGAGACAAAGTGGGATATTCTGCTAGGTTTTGCCTGCAGCCAAACCCTGGTCTGTGTGTGCTGTTTGTCAGAGATGCTCTTGTCACAAAGGCCCTTTTCTGCAGGGACAGTGTCTGGGTGATGCTGATACGAGCAGGAGTCTTGGATTTGCAATGGTCTATCTGGTTTGAATCAAATAAAGAACCACTCTGAATCCCTGCCCAAAGCACAAAGGAAGCCTGCAGCATGTTAACAGGATGAGAAAGTCTGGCCAATTCACTTAATCTGTTCCAGGCTCCTCTTGGCTTCCAGGTGTTCATCCCAGATCACAAGCCCAAACATCCGGGGAGAGGCTCTTGCTGTCATATTTCCAGCCCATCTGATAAGGCTCGTGCCTCTGAGCCTGCATGCTGCTGCAGGATCCCTGCTCTACCCTAACCAGGGCTGTCATTTTAGGCCTTCAAGTCCAGATTCAAACTGTAAATGTAAAAGTAGATGCTGTGTCAACCAGGTGCCTCACCAGCTGTAGTGCCTTTGACCTCAGAGCTCCCCTCTGGGACATGTGGGTTTTTTCACAGGTGGGTGACTGATTTTCTTGTCCAGGGTCGCATCAAATCCTCTTGGCACTTTTCTCTGATTTAAAGGGTGTGCAAAGAATGGGGCAACCCCATTGAAACACTGATGTTAAAGAAGGAGGTCCAAGCTCATTTCTGTCCCCAGATAAACCCACATGACAGCCATGTGCTGCCTTGCTGACAGAGACATTCTAGGGCTGCACAGGTGTGCCCAGGTTTTCAGCTGGACTTAAGGAAGCAGGAAGAGCCCTGTGCCAGTGTGGGAAGTGGTTTGGGGCTGGTGATGGTTGTGTTTTTCATGCATTTGCTACATTCACAACTCACAGCACTGAACTTGGGCTTCCCTGGTCTTCCTGGGCTCTCTGAGCTTTGGAGAGGGTAGAAGAGTTTTTGGCAGGGCTCAGCAGCCCTTCCTGGAAGGAAAAAGCCCCCCCTGAGCTGTGCTGACCCTCCCCAGGAGCAGCCTCCTCTGAGGAGCCTGGTGGGTGTGAAGGGGGGCAGGGGGAGTGAGATCATCCCTGATGATCTTCCCAAGCACTTGATGGGTGTTGGACTGTCCCTGACAAGACTAAAACTCAACCCAAGGGACTTGTCTTTGCCACAAAAGCCTGGCTTTTCCATAGTTAAATAGAAGATGCTTCAGCCTGACTTTTCAGTGTTTCTCTGAACTATCTGTGTGTTCTCTGACCAAACACTACAAGTACTTGCAATTTTTTTCCCCCAAAGAGCTGAATCTAGTCACTTTTTTCTCTGGGCTTCAGAGGAAAGGGAAAGGTACTTAACTTATGTTTTATTCATTGCAGTCACTATCTCTTGTTAATTTACTTACATTATTTACAGAATTTTAAAGTATTTTGTGTGTCAGGCAGCATCCCAGGCCCTATAAAATGCTAATTTTCAGACTGTATCAGAGGCAAACATCTTTCCTGGGCCTCTAGGTAGACAAAGGGTCATCCCCATTCTTAATTTATTTTTCATGATTCTATATTTAAATGCAATAAAGCCTGCTTGAATGGCAGATCTCAGGCAACCCACTTCTCCGTGTGGTTAAATTTTATGAAGATCCATTGTGGTTGTGTTACTGGTACAATAAAATTAATTTTTGATCTAGTGCCCTTAATTACTAAGGATGACTGAACCTGGTTTAAGTACAGGAATAACTATCTTGGATCTTTGCCCTCAATGGGAATGAACACAAGGTTCAGAAAGTTCAAGTTACTTTCTGAAAAGAAACTAAGTTTTATTTTCACAGTTGCTTCTTTGGACTTCCTGATTCCAGCAAGAGAGGAAGTGGGGGGAAACCCAAACCCCAGAAGGCTCTTAATGTTTTAGGTTTTAATCTCGTGTCTGTGAGCTCTGGGTAAATTGGTCCCGTTCCCAGCCTTGGGGTGTTTGAATCTTTCTGGGACAGTTGACACCATAAAATTGGGCAATACATGAAGATTTAGGGTCTTTTTGGGATAATCTAAATCACTGTGACATGCCTGAACCGAGTGTTTCCTGCTGGTCAGCTGCCTCTCGGGGTTTAAGGTCAGTCAAGAGGGACATTAGATTCCAGTGGCTTTTATCCTGGTGGAGCGTGGCCAGAGGTCTGTGGTCACCACAGCACATCCTACGGGTGTCACCTCGAGGAGATTGTGATAAACAAAATGACTTAATCTCAAAATTAATATAAAGCCATTGTTCTGGCTTTTCCTACCGAAGGAGGATGCTCTGAGGTAGTGCCTCTGACCAAAAAATGTTGGCAGACTTGAAGACTGCCACACTGGAATTTTGTAGCCACCCTGGGAGGCACTGCAGGGATATCACACAACTATTTTTCAGTGCTTGGAGTTCCATGAAAGTGTCAGGGGTTTTCCAGGGAAGGCACCATGGCATGTGAGGTACCCCAGCAATGGGATTGCTCAGCCCCAAAATAGCTCTGGGGTATCCTGTGGGGGGAGAGCAGCTACTGCTGGAGTCCTCAGTGCCACAGCTGTGCCAGCAGCCAGGCTCTGATGATGTCCTGGTCCACCCTGTCCCAGTCACAGCCATCCTTCAGGCCCAGCTGGTTCCCTCCATACCACTTTTTCCATCCCTGAGGTTGTTTTAGGTGTAACTGGTAAAGTTCTGGTGAGGCTGGTTTAAGTTCCAACACAGGTTTTTGGAGGGAGCAGCTGTGATGTTTCCAGCTGTGGTGATATCTCTCTTGGAAAACTGACACATAGTTTTCATGGAAATGATTGGGAAACCTCCGAGCTTTCCTGCTGCTGGAAGTTAAGGAGGTCTTTCGGTAGGGTTATATCCTTTGGGAAAAAACACCTGAAGGCCAGTCCAGTTCAGTAGATATTGTGGTTCTGACCATGTCTCCAGAAAAGCACAACTAAAATCCTTTTGTCACTTTAAATTCAGCACGTGTGCCCATGGTGAACACTGAAAAGACAAGTGGTTCCACTCACTCAGATTCTAAGAAGAGCTGACTGAAGTGCAAGGCTTTGCAAGACTGAGGATTCTACTGACCACAGCTGGCTCAGTTTTTGGGGTCTGTCCTCGATGCTAGCCTTTGTTTTGGGGAGTTTCTTTCCCAGGTTAGCAACCTGCACACACGGCATTACGCTGCTCAAAAATTCTTTGCGTCTACGCTGTAGCCAGAAGGAATACACTTAACATACAGAAAGCTGTCATTCTGCTAAGGGAAAAAAAATCTTATTTACGAGCTTATTTGCAAGATTTCCTCCCCTTTTCATCTTGAACAAGAAATTGGCATGTTAATGAGTGCAAGCCCTGGGAATCTGAATGCTGCCCAGACGCTGTGAACGCGCTTCTCTGTGTGAGGTGCCTGGGATGCTGCTCACCCAGCCCAGGAGCGCACCCTGCTCTGAGGCTGGTTCTGCCACCTCCAGTCGAGTCAGTGCCACAGTCCTGGCTTAGGATGTGTTAGATTTATGTGCAAAGCAGAGCTGGTAGGATAGGGACTTTGATAGGAATTAAGAATATGATAAATTTGCAAGTCGTTCTGTATGGAGTCGTTATGAAATGGGGAAAAGCATCAAAAGTTGCCCATTGGGAGTTACTGGCAGGTAAATTTAAATGTGTTCCTCCTCCAGCCCCAATCTTTTCACCACCTGGATGTTCCAGTGAACTCATGGACCCACATCATCTTCTCACCATCTGTGTGACCACCAATCACTCCAAGCAATCACTTCCAGTTGACTCGAATATGCACTGCCAAATGTTCTTACTTTTCTCAAACTTTGGTCTGTCTCACTGTGAGGTTAGAAAATCCTTCCTGAGGGTTTGGCAAATATACACCACGTGGCATTTGCCAACGTTGGTTAAATCTTAATATATAAATCCATCTGTTCCCAAAAGGAACCTGCTTGTTCTGTGATGTCGAAGCCCGGCCTTGGTGACAGGGGTTAATCATCACAGGAATTACTGGGATGCCCCAGGCAACTACTGGCTAAAGCAGACAGGAGCCAGTTGCTGAATGGAGGAAGAAAAAGATTCTCTTCAGATAAGAGCATGGGAAAAGAAAGAATGGAAATTTCATGATAGGTTAAAGGAGCTTTTAATGTGCAGAATGTAATATTTCCCTGTCGGGCAGAGAGGAATTCTTTCAAGGTAAAGTACATCCAAGGAAATACACTCCAAATAGGTTGATGTATCCAGGTACAATGGGAAGAGATTGCCATAATTATGAATCCATGTACCTGGAAACAAATGAAGGGGGGAAACTCTTTCTTTGAGGGCTCCACTGGAATGTTTCTGGATCCCAGAAACCTCCTTTATACACAGAAAAGTTAAGGTATTCCAAGCTGGATCTCCCAGATCTCCCATCTGATAATTCCCAGTGCACTTGCTGCAGTGTGTTACACTTCCAGGATGTAATCTGCTTTGGTGAAAGTGTCATTTTTATTCCTCAATAGCTGGAGACCACTGGGCTAAAGAGAGCTCTGCAGCGAGTGACCTTGGAGATCACACACCATCACCCACACCTTGTTTAAATTGCAGAGAAACGCTGGGGCTGCATAATAAGATGTTGATTGTCAGGCTGAACAAGCACGATGAGGTGAAGATGATGTTGGGAACTGCTGCTTTGCCATCCCCGCCTGGGCTGTTCAAAATGCTGATCTTGATTCTCTGCTCATCCACTATCTTTCCTCTGCAAACTTCCTGGAGATAAGTTTCAGCTCTTCTTGGACAAATATTGTTGAGAATAAACAGGGAGGCAGAGGGAAAGTGTTTGTTTTATACCTTGGTGAGGTGATAAAAAAAGTCTCCGTGTTCTGCAGCCCTTGAACCATTGTTCCTTTGTGCTTTTGGCAGAAATGTTTGGGCTGTATTGATTTCTGGTGAAATGAAATGTTAACAAATGTGTAGCAACAATGGAAGATGTTTCCTTCTCTTCCTTGGGAATTTTTTGAGCCTGGAGGATTTTTTAACCTTTGTTCCCCAAACCCCTGGTTGGGAATTGAATGAGGTTCATGGGAAAACTCGGTGCAACAATTAGTGGTGTGTTCAACTGGCTTCTCCCTCCCCGTTGGGTCTGTGTCGTGTGAACCTGCCTGAGGTGTGGAAAATAACAACAATTAAAACTCCACAAAACTTTGGACACAAGGCAGCATAGAAATAATGTCACTAACTTTTTTTCACCTCTTGTTATTTTAAAAAATAATAAATATTGTTAGGGTGGGGAAGCTCCTTGGGAAATCAGTCTCATTCCTGCCTTAGCCCTGGGTTTTCCTGCCCTGCTCTGAGCCCATACAAGCTTTGCAGTGCCCTGCAAGCTGAGGCAGCTGCTAACAAGAGCCTGGGAGCAAAGCTGAGTCCCACACTGTGCTCCAGAGGTGCCAGCAGCTGTGGGGAAGAAAACCTGCACCTATTTTCCATCTCCTAGCAGGAAAAAGGCTACTAAGGGGAAATTAATGGGGATCAGCCCCCTCCTGGTGCTTGGTTTTAAGCAGCAGATTTTACCCAAACCTCGGTAAGGTGCATCAGCCCCGTACTTTGTGTTGCAGCACTGAGCTCCTGAGCTGCCCCAGCACTGCTGGACCTGCTCTGGTGCCCCAATCCCACAACATCCCACCCCTCCATGCCTGACCTCTCTGCACTGTAGGGCTGTTTGCAGGGTTATCCAGGTGCACTGCACTGGAAGTACAAGCTCCCAACACGTTCCCCCTCCTGTAGTTTACTGCTTTCACTGTTCTGGCAGGGAACAAAAGGATCTGACCTTCCTGAGGGCGTGCAGGGAAGTTACTAAATAACCGAGTTCTCCCTTCCCCAAAAGGCTGTAAATTGTGCTGAAATAGTGGTTTCACAACAGGCCAGATGAGAAGCTGTTGTCGGCCACTGAATGGTTTTTAACTGGATGGGAACCAGAGGAAATGCTTTACCGTGGAAAACTCCCACCTTCCCTCTTCCGTGGAGCTGGAGCGTGTGCTGCCTGCTCTGTCCCACCGGGATGGAAGCACTGCAGCATCTGCGGGTCAAGGAGGAGGTTTTCACCTCAGGAAAGGACACAGAGACACCATCCAGCTTCCAAATCACTGTTGGAATGTTCAGGGACAGCTCAGGGGCTTTGGACTCGCTGAAGATTTGGCCACGTGCTGGGGGCAAGGTGGGCAGTGCTGGAGAGGCCACAGCACCTCGTGGGTTTGGTTGGGCTGGTTTGTTTTGGGGACAGGTCAGGAAGGGCTTGGAGCAACCTGTTCTGGTGGAAGGTGTCCCTGCCCATGGCAGGGGAGTTGGAACAAGATGGTCTTTAAGGTCCCTTCCAACCAAAGCCATTCTGGGATTCTACAGCAGGTCCTGGGAGCTGGAGAGATGAGGACAAGTGGAGGAAACGGCTCTGCTCTGTTGAGAAGAACTTCATCAGTGGTGTCAAAACAAGCTCCCAAAGCCAGCAGACAAATGAACTGGGTTTGTGCCACCTGCCCTCCAGCTGCAGCTTATATTCCTGAAGAAAACAAGACGACAAGCACCACAACACACTTCTCTTTTTGCCTGTGTAACTCCCTTTCTTCAGAATAGAATCCTTCCAAAAGGGCTCTTGCACACTCTTTCTCCTCCTCTTGGCTATTTTTTTTTCCATGCTTTGACATCATTATGTGAGGGACATTACTGAGCTCCAAACTGTGGAAGAAATGGTTCTGAGCCAAAGTGTTCTGCTGAGAAAAAAAAAAGAAGGAAAGAAAGAAAGAAAGAAAGTATTTTCCAATGGCTCCATCAAAATGCAGCCAACTGGGTTTTCCAGTTTTATGGGAGAGATTTCTGAAGTCCTACCCTGAGGTCACCAACTTGTGGGAAAGTACTTGTGATTTCTCCCTCCCCAGCCAATAAGCATCAGTGCTATTTTCACACTACCGGGGAATGACCCTAATTAGGCTTATTAAAGTCAGTTCTTTATTAATTGTGTGGCCACAATCCTGCAAACACCTCTGCATATGTACAGATTATTGATGGGAAGAGCTCCTGCTAAAACCAGTGAGGTTGGATTAAGGCTGAAAGCTGGATGTGTTTATCAGGGCTGGTGGGAACAAGACATTCACTGCATTTTGGTGTAAGAGAAGACTTCGTGATCACTGATGTGTTCAAAATAGGTTGTCTAGAGATAGAAGTAAGATTTTTATATAAAATAAACCCTGCAACAATAATTTTCTCAAATTAAAGCACAATATGAGGATTGTTTTTCCTGTCAAGGAACAGATGGATTTAACACTTTTATACCACGTTATTGTGACTGAGCACTCTACTGGTGTCCTCAGGCCTTGTTGCTGCTGCACCAGTTGTAGTTTCCTCATGAGCTCTTTCCCCCCAGGGCAGTTCCCCAGCACAGGCAGGAGCAGCACTGCCCACAGAGAGCCCTGGGAAGGCTGGTTCCTGTCTCACACAGCTCCACCACCCAGAAATGCTGTTGCTGCCCATCCTGGTGCCACAGAAGTTGAGTGTTAAGTGCGAGAGATGACAAGAGGTTTGAAGCTGTGCCAAGCCTGCCTGAATCCACCTGACCTGTAAATAAGGCTGGCCTTGCACCCTGCAGGGCTGGCACTCTGTCCTGGCTGGGGATCAGGTGTCCCCTGGGCACTGACAGGAGCCTGTCTCTCAGTCCCTTCATGCTCCAGTGAGACACAGCACTTTTCTTCATGCAGCTTCTGAGCCTTCTGCTCGTCAGGTCTCTGCTGCTGGGCTGTGATCTCCAGGAAAGGCCTCCCAGTGCCTTCATTCTTTGACTAATTGGAGCCTCAGGAAGGAGATGTGCTCCATGGACATGAGTGTGCCCTGGGTTTGATTCTCTGGAGCACATCCCATTGAGAACTTCCCAAGCTTCACCACTGCCATGGCTCACTGGGTATTTTCTCCTCTGGGTTATGGTTCATTAAGTCACAAATTAAACTTATTGCTCCTTAGATGGAGGCTACATGAGAGCATCCCGTTGAGTTGCTTAACAGTTCTTGCTTTTTGGTGTTTCTGAGCTGTTCAGGAGCCTGGTTTTGAATGTGTTGGAATAGATGGAAAGAGTTCAATTGATTTTGGGAGGAAGTTTGCTTCAGGCCATTCATGGAGAAGAAAGGACACCACCTGAAGATGTTCCTCGAGAGCATTCCTTCCTTTCCACTGACTTCCCAGGAGCTGAAGAGGTGGGCAGCCTTATTATGCAGAGGAGCCACTACAGGAGCTGCCCACAGCCCTCAGCCCTCGCCTGGGCCCTGTGGGCAGCTGCCTCTGAACAGTGGCTGCTCTCACAAATCCATCTCTCCCATTTGGGGATCTCTAATGAGACAGGAGGGCTGGAATCCTTCCAGCACGTCGCCCCTGCTGGCTGCCCTCCCATTTGGTCATGCTCGACGCCGAGGTAAATAGGCCTTTCATGAAATCCAACACCCAGCCCTACCTAATCCCCCCTGCCTTCAAACTGTGGGGGCTAATCAGTTGTTTTGACATAACTGGGATCCAAATTCTATGAGGAACATGGCCAAGAACAGTTCAAATCCAAGACCAAGATTAATGAGAACTTCAAAGAAATTTACCACCAAATGTTACTAATTTAGTACACCCTGTGTTTGAAACCAATGACCTAATTGGAAACTATATTCTTTAAAAGCTTTTATGTCCCAGCTCTTTAGTATTCGGGAGGTGACTTGTGAGATCAGAGAGGGTTTATGTCATTTGGTGGGATGGGACTGTGGATTTCCCCTCCCACCTCCCTAAAACTGGGAGAAAATATCCTGTACTAGGTGATCGTGCTCTTAATACACAATAAATAACAGATTCATAATCAGACAAACAATTTCCTTGTGCTCTCCAGTAACTGAGTATTATATTACAAATCCCTTAAAGCTGGTTAGAGAAATGGAAAGGCCTGATTAACTTTGCTGTTTAACATGTTGCAAAAAAATCAGCACGTCAAAAAAAAATGGATTGATGTGGAAATGCACATTGTTGCACAGGGCTGCTGGGGGTACATCTGCCTCCCCACAGTTTCACCAAGGTCTAAACAACTATGTGTCCTTCACTTGGCTAAGGATTGGGGAAAAAATCCTGAGGAGAAAATCAGATCACTGATGCCTTTAGCAAAGATCAATCAACCTGCTGTGGAGGTCAGGCTTGCTGTGCTCAGCTCAAGACTCTTCTCTGAGTCTTACCTTCCTCCTAGCACTGCTCCAGGGGTCTGGACTTTCCTGAGAGGGTCTTGCTGTCACCTGTGAGGAGGTTGTTTGTCCTAAATCCAACTACACTGATGCTCACCCAGAGAACCAGGATGTCACCCGTGGTGGAGAACTAGAAGGATTTTCCCAGCACACGAGCTCAGGGACAGTGAGGTGAAGGTGGGATTTGTCTCACCTGCTGCTGCAGGTGAAAGTCTTGTGTAGATGTCGATTCTAAATCACAGCTTTCTGTTCATAATGAGGAGGAAAATGTTTCCACCTTGGACACCTACTTTAGTGTGGACTGTACCATCTTCTGGCACTGGTTCTTTCTCTGCTCACACTGCAGGGAGACTGTGGGACGGCTTGGATTTGTATCTTCATCTCCTGAGCACCAGTGAGGATCATAAAATCACAGAATCATAGAATGGTTTGATTTGGAAGGGACCTTAAAGATCATCTCATTCCACCCCCTGCCATGGGCAGGGACACCTTCCACCAGCCCAGGTTGCTCCAAGCCCCGTCCAACCTGGCCTTGGACACTTCCAGGGATGGGGCAGCCACAGCTTCTCTGGGCAACCTGTGCCAGGGCCTCCCCACCCTCACAGGGAAGAATTCCTTCACAATATCTCATCTCAACCTGTCCTCTGTCAGTGCGAAGCCATTCCCCCTTGTCCTGTCACTCCAGGCCCTTGGAAATAGTCTCTCTCCATCTTTCCTGTTGCTTCTTCAGACACTGAAAGGCCACAATTAGGTCACCCCAAAGCTTCTCTTTTCCAGGCTGGACAATCCCAACTCTCTCCCCTTTCCTCCCAGCAGAGCTGCTCCATCCCTCTGATCCTCTTGGTGCCTCCTCTGGACTCTCTCCAGCAGCTCCATGTCCTCCCTGTGCTGTTCCCCAGGGCTGGAGCAGCTCTGCAGGGGGGTCTCACCTGAGGGGGCAGAGGGGCAGAATCTCCCCCTCCCCTGCTGTGGGATCAGCCCAGGGCATGGGGGATTTTTGGGTCCCAGAGCACATTGCCAGGGCTTGTCCAGCCTGTCACCCACCTGCACCCCCAGGTCCTTGTAAGGATGCTCAGGAAGACCCAAATCCCCAGCAATGTACCCAAATTCCAGATCCAGGCTATGAAGACACAGCCCCTCCATCCCCACTGGGCTGAAGGCCACCCTGCCCTGACTGACAGCTGCTTGCACGGGAGGTGATGCAGCAGAGAAGTAGATTTTCACGCTTAGAAGTCCTTCAGTTCAAAAGCTGGGGGACTTTTTGAAATGAGCTGATTTTATCTAAAATAATGAGAATTTATCCCCTGCCACTGGTGTACGGGAAGCAGCTGGGAAGCAATGCCTTCTCAAAAAAAAAATCTTGATTTTCTGGGCAAAATAACAGCTCTGGAAGGATCTGTAGAGAATGTTTTGGTCACTACACCTGAATAACCACTAAGTGAATTATTTGGGATGCACTGCAGTCCATTTCAGATGCTGTAGGGGATCTGGGATACCTGTCATCTCCCATGCAGTTTGTACCACGGTGCTGAGGTGGCAAAGGGACCACCTTTGGAAGAAGAAATGTCATTTTTCAGCATGAAGCCAGGCTTGAGTTTCTTACCTGCCACTGCACAGGGGACATAGCATTCAGACCTGCCCTTCCCTCAGGATTTTCTAGTAATTTGGGAATAAAAGTTAGTTTCTGAGGTGGGTTACGTGATCTCCCAGGCAAAGGGCTGGTGCTTTCCATTCCTAACTTACAGTGGAATTCCCCCTTTCTGCATAAATTAAAATGCAGAGTGTAGTTACCGGTTTAAAAATAAACAAAAAGTTGCAAAATAAAGAAGAGGCTGGAGCAGTTTGGACACATTCAACCTGTAACAAAGGTTCCTTGTTTTCACATCAGTGATATTTTGCCAGTAAGGGCTTCGTGGAACATCAAGAAAGGTTTTTCTTGGGTTGTTTTCAGAAAACAGTTAAAAAAGAAAAAAAATAACTGAACCAAATGGGGTCATTTGCTGGCTGAGAGGGTGATTCCTGCTGGGTGTGGGTTTCCTGATGCAGGTTGGATGCTCAGCCTGGTGGCAACCAGGGAGGTTGGAGCAAGTTCAGCTCAGCTGGGGGATCCACCTCCACCAAAGATGTTCCTGTGCATGTCCAGTGTTACCAAACCCATTTCTCAGACATTTATTAATTGAGACTCCACAAGGATCCTTTCCCTCTCCAGTGAGGATGGATCCTGGTGCAAGGCAGGGCTGAAGTGCTCCATTGGCAACCCTGCATCTGCTGAGGAGAGCTGGATATTGAAGTGATTTCCTCTTCAGGGCCTTACAAGCCTTGTGGGGTTCGTGCCACCTTAGGAGTCTGGGCAGAGCTTGAAAGGTTTAAGT